ATATGAGCCGTCTGCTGTCCTTGGAAGGCAGAGGCAGATGGAGCAGGCAGCTTGGATCTTAAGTGACATTTTCCATGTACCAGCACCAGCCCTTTCCCTGCCTAAGGACCTGCCATCATAGGCAAGACCCTCCCATATGTGACTCACTTGGTGTCATGGATGCTCTGGGGCAGTGTGAGGTCTGGAGTCAGCCCTGTAGCTTGATGTGTTCTGAGGCCTCTCGCTACCCTCCCAGCCTCTTCCAGAGCAGGCACAGTGGAGAAGGGGGGCTTGCTCTCCTCACTCTGAGGTCCTGGTACTTCTGACCCAGTCCAAGGTAGCAGTTAGGGTATCACTTCTGCAATGCAGTATGGGTACCCTTCCATACTCCATCACCCCAGTGAGTTCTGGGTGCCTGGGAACTGCTAGAGGCTGTGGGTAACCCATGGAGACAAGTGGGGCCCTGTCTGCCACGACCCTGGAGAAGCCTCCCAGCTCCAGTAGCCTTGAGTGTTTATAGAGTGATGCTGTACCCTGTTGGGTCATTCAGTGAGCGTGACTTGGCCAGTTCACTTCTGTGCTCTGGTACATGGAGTCCTCCCCACAAATTGCTGTTTGTGCCAGCAGTCCCCCTACCCCCTCCTCACCTGGTCAACACCATGGACAGCACTGCCTCTCAATCACTGCCCAACAGGACTTCTTCCCACCATAAGGGAGGCATCTCTGTAGAGTAGCTCACCCTTGACCCACCCATATTGGTGCTACCCTGGCCACATGCACACCTCTCTCAGGCAGGTTCCTGAAGCTTCTATAGGATCCAGGGCCTCCCACTGTGGACACCCTTCCCTAGCCCATTGTTTCTTGTCAGCTCCACATAACCTCTCCAGGAGTCATCTGGAACCCAGGACCTGGGGTCAAACTGGGGCAGGTCACCCCATTGTCAGGGACCTCCAACCTGGTGCTCAGATCACAAGGATCAATGTCTTTTCTGCATAGTTCCTCTGGTCCCGTCCCTCCCAGTGTCTGGCATGGAGTTGCAGTTCCCACTCTGCCCTGGGGAGAGGCCTATCAGGTAAGGGGGCATCTCAAGGCTGGCCTGAGCCCCCAGCATCCATAAAGCATTTGTTCCTGATGTCAGACAGAGGTCTTGGCTTTTAGTAGGGAGCACAAGGTAGATAAAACCACCTGGATGGGCTAGATGGGTGTAGGCCGTGGGTGCTCAGCAGAGGTAGGTGAGGTTTTCCTGTCCCTTGGAGCTTAGCCTTGAGGGACTGGAGCTAGCAGTGAGGGGCCTGAGTGCACCCCTGGGAGCTGATGGCTAACCCTGCCCTGGGCTGGGAGTTCTCCTTGTTCTATATAGTAACATTGTTTCTTTTTTAAACTTTTTTCTATTTTTCAACTTTTTTTGAGATGGGGTCTCTCTGTAGCCCCACCTGGCCTGGAACTCACTATGTAGACCAGGCTGGCCTTGAACTCATAGAGATCTGCCTGCTTCTGCCTCCCAAGTGCTGAGATTAAAGCAGTATGCCACCACACCCAGCCCATTTATTTTTATGTATATGAATGTTTTGTCTGCATGTATGGAAGTGTACCACATGTGCGCAATGCCTGTGGAGACCAGAAGGCAACAAATCCTCTGGAACTGGAGTTAAGGCTCTTAACCGCCATGTGGGTGCTGGGAACCACACCCTGCTCCTCTGCAAGAGCAGCCAGTGCTCTTAACCGCCATGTGGGTGCTGGGAACCACACCCTGCTCCTCTGCAAGAGCAGCCAGTGCTCTTAACCGCCATGTGGGTGCTGGGAACCACACCCTGCTCCTCTGCAAGAGCAGCCTGTGCTCTTAACCGCTGGGCCATCTCTCTAGCCCCTGGGGTTTGAGTTTTCACCTCCTAAGTCTCTGAGGTGTGTACTCCCTAGTACCCACAGGAATGAACTGGTCACCATCCCTTGCCTCCACCCAGTCACCTAGGCTGATGTGTAGGCCAGGGGAAGAGTCAGCCTGCAGTGAGGACAGTAGTGCCTTCCTACAGGCCTCCTGGGGCAGGAGTCTTGGGCCCACTGGGACTGAGTGAGTCTTGGGTTCCTTCAGCTTCCAGTCCTGGTCTAAAGGTGGGAGATGTGGGGGTGGCAGGAGCCTCTGTTCACCTTACCCTGTCCGCCTCCCTTTCTGGTTCCAGCTGTGGCTTCCTAGGCTTGGCATATGCTTGGCCTCCTTCCCACCCCAGTTTCTTTGGCCACTGGAGCCCAGGAGACTGTTTAGGGAGAGGGTGACAGTGGCCTCAAGCGGATGCCGAGTCTCCTTGGAGCCTACTGCAAGCCTCCTAGGATCTGGAGTCAGAACCTGCCCTGGGGAATGTATATGCCCCAGTGCTGTATCCTGTCTTGTCCTGCCAGGCCTTTTCCCCAGAGCCCATTAGCCATTGGTTCTTCCCTACCCTCCTCGTGGCCCTGGGATGTCTCCCCCTTTTCCTCCCCCAGTGACCCAGAGCCCAAGACTTCAGGTGAGGGTGGAATCCCGCCCCCATCAGCAGCCCTGTACCCCAAGACAGACTGGATGTCCCTGCCACTATGCCATGTCCCACCTTCTCTGGAGTCTTATCACCACATGCCTTCCTCCTCTGCTTCCTCTTATTTTGATTTTATAAAAATGAACAATGAAACTGAAGGAGGCCCAGGGGAGGCAGTGGCTGGGTGATAGCAGGTGTTCTGGTGAGACCTTCCTGCTGGCCTACAAAACTGCGCCACATCCTAACTTGATTATGAGTGGAGGTGTGAGGAGTTGAAGCTTCCTCTGCTCAGGCTGACGGGAAGTCCAGAACACCAGAAACCCAGGACAAGGTGGCCCCAGGGCTGGGTCTAGAATCCTGGGACCTGCCACCAAGAAGACCTAGAGCACTAGGTGTCTCTGAGGCAGGCTGAGCAGGTCTGGAGGGACTAACTCAACTGCCATGGCCTCCATAGGGCCTGGGCTCCAGTATGGGCTGACCCTGAGGGTAGTGGGGCAAGGTGCAGAATTGGAAGCCAGAGGAGATTCAGTCCCTTCTGACCAGGCACAGGAGTGTGTGGATGGGGGAGGGAAAGGGGGTGCCCCACGCAGGTCACTGTCACTGGCGGGGGGGGGTGTGTGAGAGGATGTGCCCTGCTGGGCCTCACCCTGTCTTCTTACTGTTGCTGTGGTCCCAGCTGGGTGGCTGTGGCGTCCTGGGCGTTGGCATCTGGTTGGCCGCCACACAGGGGAACTTCGCTACTCTGTCATCCTCGTTCCCGTCCTTGTCGGCTGCCAATCTTCTCATCGTCACCGGAAGCTTTGTCATGGCCATCGGTTTCGTGGGCTGCATCGGGGCCCTCAAGGAGAACAGGTGCCTGCTGCTTGCTGTGAGTGTCCTGGGCCCTGCCCTCTGGTTCTCCATGCCACCAGCTCCACTTCTGGGGTCTGTGTGGCACCACAGCTTGGTGGGGTCTTCCACACCAGGCAGGGCTGGACGGATTGCTCCAGAAAACACGTTTAGAGCTGGGCCTGGTGGCCAAGGCAGGAGGATCGTGAGTTCCAGACTAGCCTGGGCTATAGAGTAAGATCAAAGTTTGAGCAGAAACGAATGCTTGCATGATATGCATGAAGCTCTGATTCCTAGCAAAACACACATGCACACACACGCACATAGACAAACATAGGGTTTGGAAGTGGGGGTCTCTTGACAGGATGCAGACCTGTGAGCACACTCCCATGTACACACGCAGCCTCAGCTGGGCTGTCTTGGGACTCATCTGTACAATGGCTTCTGCCCAACTTCTTGTCCTGGACCCGCCCCTGCCCCAGCCTTCACCCTCTGTAGAAGTTTCATAGCACCATGTGACTTTGGGAATGTATTTATGGGAGGAAGTATTTCCACCTCTGCAGTTTGTAAAGTTAATCACAGGTAATTAGGAAGGGAAAGGATTTCTGGAGGCTCATTACAAATTAATGTGCCTGGCAGAGGCTTCAGGCAGACAGCAGGTGGACTGAAGCCCCGAGTCAGTAGGCTTTGAATGGTTCCTTTCCCTACCTGGGATGGAGTTTTACCCAGGGCCTCAGTCTCTTGTAGAGCCAAACTGCTCCACCCACCCACCCACCCTTTTAAATATATTTTGATTCCTTGAGGATTTCATACAATGTATTTTGATCATATTCAGACCGCCTCTCCCATTTCTACCCCCTACCTTACTGTCCCTAGCACAACTTCATGTTCTCTATTGCTATCTTTATATATTTTATTATTTTTATGCATATGAGTGTATTGCCTGCATGTATGTGTGTGCACCCGTGTCATGCAATGCCCATGGAGGTCAGAAGAGGACTTCGGATTCCCCTGGAACTGGAGTTAAGGATGGTTTGTAGCCACCATGTGGGTGCTGGGAATTGAACCCAGGTCCTCTGCAAGAGCAGTCAATGCTCTTAACGGCTGAGCCATCTCTCTAGCCCTGCTTGGGATCCATTTCAAATGTCCCAAATGGGAGCTAGGAATGGAACTCGGTGGCAGAGTACTTGCCAAGCAGGTGCAAGGCCCTGGGTTCAATCCCCAGTATTGAAAAGTCCCAATGGAGATGGCAGGCCAGGAACCTGGGGACTATAAACCCACATGGGTGTGTGTGGATCAGCGTGGGGGTCCGAGGATACCCCAGGCCAGTGGGGCCCACATTTAGGTTCAGCAGCTGGTCTGGCCTCACCTGGCCCTGGGCTCATGGTGAGGAATCTCTGGGGCTCCAGTTAAGACACATGCTCCCCGCAGTTCTTCGTGCTGCTGCTGCTGGTGTTCCTGCTGGAGGCTGCCATTGCCGTGCTCTTCTTTGCCTACAGTGACAAGGTATGCTGCTGCACGTGGCACACAGGATGTTGGGTTTATACACTGCTACCAGAGACCTAGAGGATCTGTGTTGTGGCTCTGGTTGTATGGGTGGCACGACAGGACTAACTCCCAGGGGTGGTTGATCAGCCTGCCCACGGCCATCTGGTGAGTGCAGGTTGTGAAGTGTGCACTGTCCCAGGCACCCTGGCCCACAGTGCTCCTCACTGTGTGCTCTGAGTTGTCCGTCCACCCTGCCCCCGTCTGTCTGGTGACATAGCAAAATGAGACCTTGGGTTGTAACCAGTGCTGTTCCTAGCTCCTGTGTCCCTGACTTTGCCTACTGCCTGTGGGGCACCTCCTCTCTGGCCTGATTACAGGATGCTCCTTGCACAGCCCTCGAGTCACCTTCCTGAAGGCCCTCCTTTTCTGGAGGACAGTCTTAGAGATGGAGATCTGGGAGTGGTGCCCAGCCTCTCAGCTGGCACCATGACATGCCTGCTTGTACTAGCAAGTACACTGCAGTCCTCTCCAGCCAACGGGGCAGCAGTGTGCACCACGGTCTTTGGAGCTTCTGGGAGGACATGAGCCTGGGCTTGTTCTGAGTGTGATGTGGTGGAAGGGCGGAGCATTAATAACCCTAGAAAACAGGAGGGAGGCTCAGATGGGAGTGGGTGTGGGATCTGGATGAGGAAGACGGAATCTGGTCTTGGGCTGGACGGTGTTGAGTCCTCTGCATCCCCAGATTGACAGATACGCTCAACAAGACCTGAAGAAGGGCCTCCACCTATATGGCACGCAGGGCAACGTGGGCCTCACCAACGCCTGGAGCATCATCCAGACTGATGTGAGAACTGGGTGGTCTGCTTGGCAGGGCAGGCAGGCAGGCAGGCAGGCTGGTGGGTGTGGTCTTGTGGTTGCCTCTCCACTCAGCCTTTTGCCTTCCCCTCTAGTTCCGTTGCTGCGGAGTCTCCAACTATACCGACTGGTTTGAAGTGTATAACGCCACTCGCGTGCCCGACTCCTGCTGTCTCGAGTTTAGCGATAGCTGTGGGTTGCATGCCCCAGGTACCTGGTGGAAAGCAGTAAGCATTGTCCCCTCACATTGGGGGAGTTGCGGGATGGGGCCCAGTGGGGAGGCCCCAGCTAACTCTGGCTCTTTTGCAGCCCTGTTATGAGACAGTGAAGGCCTGGCTCCAGGAGAACCTTCTGGCTGTGGGCATCTTTGGACTGTGCACTGCGCTGGTACAGGTGAGCAGGGCAGGGCCTGGGGCTCCTGACAGGTAGCACAGTGGCAGAGGCCTTGCCTTCAGCACCCTATGGTTTGGTGGGCTGGTAGTGATGCAAATTGTAAGAACTCAGTGTCAGTGGGGCATGGTGTGCACGCCTTTAATCCCAGCACTTGGAGTGCTTGGGAAGCAGAGGCAGAGGGATCTCTGAGTTCTGGGTCAGCTGGGGCTACAGGGAGACCCTGTCCTAAAAAGACCAAAAAAAAAGGTCAGTGAACTGAGGCAAGTTCACTAAGAGAAGTGACCTTTGTCATGTCAAGAAGGGTGGCACCCCAGGCCCTGCTGTCCCCATCCAGGTTCATAGTTCCCTCATAGCAGTGCTCTGAAGCTCCAAGCCAAGTAGGACAGACCCACAGGGTAGCCCCACCTCATTTCGGGTGCAAGCACTCAGGTGGCTGCATCTGAACAAGTGGGTACAACAGGGCAGGCAGCAGGATGTAGACCAGGTGTGGAGGGGGTGTGACCCACTGTATAAAACTCAGCTTACCTTGGGGATAAGACTCAGGGGGTGGGGTAATACCAGGCCACCCCAAGAAGCCTGGCCTGGGGAGTCAGTGCACTGCTGAAGGCTAGGGGGCCCCTCAGCCTGGGCTGAGCATATGGGCCTACCTGTGGTCCCCTGTCTCCACAGATTCTGGGCCTCACCTTCGCCATGACCATGTACTGCCAGGTGGTAAAAGCGGACACCTACTGTGCATAGGTCTCACAGCCTCTGCTTCTCTGCCAAAGGACCCCGCCCACAGGGAGATGTCCAAGACCACCTCCTCTGTAGGACTTGGTGCTCTGCTGGACTCAGGGGAGGAGCTGGTGTCAAGAGCACCCAGGACCCATCCCTGCCCCGAGGAGTCTCAGTTTGGGTGGCTACAGAGTCTCCAGACTGTGGGGTTGGTACTGAGCACAGCAATTGGGGCTACAGGCAGGGGGAACTCTTGATGCTCTTTATGTATTCTCCAGTCTTCACACAGCGTGGGGTCCCTAGCCTCGCAGGGATGCAGGGTAGTAGGCAAGCTCAGCCTGCTCAAGGCCCTGACTGGTCCTGGTGCTCCAGGCAGGGCCAGGCCCCATCATCCACATTCCACGGCACTGCCACAGCTCCAGGTGCATCTTAATAAAATACATGAGCAGCCCTCGTGTCTCGCTGGGCACACACAGGCTATACAGCGGCAGTCTTTGACTGAGGAAGTTCCTTAGTCACGACTCTGTGGAGGCTAGGGGAGCATTGCTGACTGGTCAGGGGCCCAGGGAGATTGGCCTCGGTCCACTCCTGTTTCTCTGGGGCACCTTCCTGAGGCCACACACTTTCCCCTGCATTAGTCTGAACAGACTGCAAACTGCAGTGCAAGGAGCAGAGCCCTTGCCACAGATCAGGGATAAAAGGCATCAATCCTCTTCAAAGGCACTCTTCTCATGACTGGGTGTGAGCACCTAGCACCTGTCATGGTATCTGACTCCCAAGTCCCTCCATCCTGCTGCCTAGGGGCCCCACCATCTGTCACCCTGGGACATAGACCTCATCAGGCGTCATTCTGTGTGGATACTCACACCTGTGTGCCATACACTAGAGAGAACCCATCATTGCCAGCAGGGCTGCCGCCCCTCCTGTTCTCTGGCTCTGGGTTGAGTCCTTGTGTCCCACTGTCCTCTCTGGTGGAAGGCACAGGACCCTGGAGAATCTCAGAACTGATGTGGACAAGCTTCCAAGTTGTGTAGATGGCAAAATGGAGTGGGGGAGCATTCCGAGTATAGCAGGGTGCTGACTCTCCCTCTGCCCACGGCCCTTCTGAGCTTGTCAGGTTCCCCTGTTCTCAGCCCCAAGCCGAGTAGCTCCTATGCATGTACATGGTCACTATACCATAATACCTGTCAGCCCTTGGACAGGACTTCTGTACACCTCAACTCTACTGACCCAAACCAGAACCTGAAGGTATGGCATAGTGGGAGAGCCTTGCATGGCTCTGGGGTCAACCTCTAGCACTAGAAAATGACTCAGGTGTGAACTGACTACCCTTATCCTGCCCCTTCTTAGTGGCCCCAGGGAACCCACTCAAGTCCCCATCTACTGCCACTCCATTCCAGGACCCTGCCTGAGGCACCTGTCCCATACTGCCCTATTCCATACTGCCTTGCTCACCCAATGAACTCACAGCAGGCTGCTCACAGACTCCCCGCCACTCTCCAGGACGCTTCCCTACACAGCCTCCTGCCCACAACCAAGTAGGCCACATGTCACTTCTTTTACTCAAAGAAGTGTTCCGATCCCACCAAACCCTCAGGGTGAGAGCTGAAGGGACTCAGGCTTAGTCACCAGCCAGTCAAGAGTGGGATAAGGCTCTTCCATGGCTCTACAGCGCCAGCCAGCATCCCAGCCTCTACCCCTTTCCCCACCAAGCACACTCAGCACCTGAGCACACTACTACTTGTAGCATGGGAAGCCAAAATACCTTTACTGTTCTCCAACACTGACCCTCTTGTCCTGGCCCAGTTCCACCCCTTACCTGGGATCTATAGGGCTGTGTCCCTCTCTTAGAGCCAGCAGGGTCAGGACAGTCCTAAGGCCTTTGCAAGTGTTAGGTAGTTGGTAGTCTGTCCCACAGCTCTTCTGACCCAGCATCCTGAGTTCTAAGAGTGGGTGGCCAGGAGCTACCTCTAGTCAGGCAAGATAAAGTCAGTAAGGTGGCCCAACAGATGCCTAGGTGGGGCATTCTACCCATCCCAAAGCAGTTCCAAGAGGGAGGGGCCTAGTCAGGCCTTTAGTGAGTTGGGTCAGGTCCTGCCACCTTAGCACCCTCCCCATTCCTACCTCCAGGGTGGTGGAATGCAACACCCACTCCCAGGACTTTGAGCTGCAGATTTCAGCATGAGGGGACAGACATTCCCCTAGTACCCTGGTTAGGGATATCATCCTACATGGCTAAGGGCTAGCTGATGGGCCTTGGCCAGTGTATTAGAAGGATCTACCTCCTTAGGGCCTTCAGGAACAAGGGATGCTACCCCGAGGTTGGCTGTCCAGCATGGGACAAGGAGGGGCAGGAGCCCAGGGACAAGTGATAGACGAACAGGGAGAGGGGACTAAAGCGATGAAGTAACGAAGGTTGGCCACCCCTTACCTGCTGGTGCCTCAGAATTCTGGACATTTTCCCAGCATTGGCTCGGCCTGTTGCCATTCACTAGGGCAGATGGACCCTCTGGCCTCATGACACCCACACCACCACTTCCCAGCCAGCAGGCCCTGTTTTTCACCAGTAGACACTGAGGCTAAGCTGTGGTTCAGGTAGTTTCACAGAATTGGGACCAGCCTGCCTGAACCAATTCCTAAAACTCAATTCCAACACACTCAGTGGGAACAGGTGCGGAACCTGCTGCAAGTGTTAGGAACCTGCACACACCTGGGCCTGCAGCAGGTCGATGATGGTGGTATGAGGGCAGGACCACCAGTGCTGCCCTTGTTAGGGTTCTGGTGATGCTGGAGGAGCTGTCCCTGCCAGGACTATGATTGTTCACGTCTTTCAAACCCACACCCCACACAGACCATGCAGAGCACTCAAGATGCCTGGGCCAGGTTGCCCAAGAGGGTGGGAGCCACTAGTCCTGTCTTAATCCAGTTCACAGCATGCAGCAGTGAGTGGCAAGTGGGAGGGGTTCCAATTCTTATACCATGCCAGGGAGCTCTCATGTGTATGGGCCCTGCTGAGGACCACAGCAGATGTGTCATGGTAAACAGAACAGAGATCTATATTTCACCAGTCAATTACTCCATGGCTCAGAAAAGTTCATGTCCACTTGAGGGCTACTGCCCAGCCTAGAGCAGGTCGTAGAAGTAGTCCAGGCCCTGGCCCAGCTCCCAGATGGAGACCCCGACGCCCAGCTCCTTGGCCAGCTCCAGCCGGACCTGCAGGGACTTTAAGCACAAACAGAGGTGTGGGCCCCCTGCAATACATTCAGAACTATCCTAAGGCCATGTGCAGCCTGGAATCAAGACAGCAGGTCAGACCCCTCACTGAAGAGGGCATGATACCTGTTGTCATCTGACCAAAACTGCCACCTCCACCACAGCACCATGGTTGGCAGCCAAACATATGACACATACCTTCAGGGTTGGGTAGAAGACGATGTGCCTTCCTCCACGGCTCCTGCAGGACAAACGGGACTGTGTAGCTGCCTTCTGGTCAGGCCCAGGGGCTCTCCTCTGCCTAGGGTTAGGGGCCACTAGCTCCCTGCTGCTCCCTCTCCAGTGTCCTCCCTGCAAGGCTTCCTGCCCACAACCAGGTAGTCTACATATCACTCACTTCTTATATTCAAAGACGTGCTCTGCAGTCTGGCTGTCCCACATCAAGCGGGGCCTGTGGTCCTTCAGCGTCTGGATGTACCTGGAGAGATCAGGGTATAGTTATGGGAGCTAGGGATACACTCAGCCTGCCCTTATCTCCAGGCTCACAGAAGGGACCCCCCAGGCTCACAGAAGGGACCCCCCAGGCTCACAGAAGGGGTGAGGGATACATTGTCCCCAAAGGTCTATGTAGAGCCAGTAGTGTTCAGTGATCTGTGCTTAGCCGGAGGGCTAGGGTGGTCAAATTCCAAGGACCCACTGCACCCAAGTGGGAATACCACTCTGTGAGCCTTCTCAGAGAAGTCACCACTCAGACCTCCTGATGCTCCCTCTGCTGAACCACACACAGACCCGGACTCCTTGCTCTGCCCAGAGCCCAGGTAATAGGCTGATCAGCAGGCCTCAACTGCCAAGCTGTGGGTCCAGGATTGTGGGACATGGCTTCCCTCTAGCTTTCTAGGTGGAAACTAATTTCTAGAGGTTTAGTCTCCAGGGGTCTTCCTTCCCCCAAGTGGGTAACTCTGCCCTTCCTGAGGAAATGCTTGTTCTCAACTGCTGGAGCCAGGATTGGAGTTTCCAAAGCCCCGGGAGGACTAGAGCACACAGCGCACCCATGCTTTACATTTAAGACCAGAAGAGGTGGCCCCACCAGCTACAGGCCACCACAGCATGTTAAGAGATGGCCTGGGGCCTGGGGGCTTCTCATGCATCTGCAGCTAGGAGTCTGCCGGTGGAAGGCTCCTCCCTCACCTGGGTGGTGGGATCAAGACCTGCTGGGGAAAGAGTCACGCTGCATACACACAGCTGTAGCCAGAGGTAGGAGGGGCCCAGGACCTGCAGCCTGGGCTGAAGATAGGCACAGAAGGCAGTAGAGTCATCAGCACCCTGAATTGTGTGGTGTGGGTGTCTATAGCATGTGGGGGATGGAGTAGCTGAGGAGCTGCCTTCTAACCCTGAGTCTTAGGCTCCTGCCAGGAAGTGGCTACTGCGTGGTGCAGGGCAGAGGCCCAGGAGCCCCCAGCATGTCTTCCAGGCCAGAGCAGCTGTCGTCTTGTCTTGCAGTGCTCCAGAGGACATCAGGCCCTGGGAGACCACCCTGGCCTTGTGGGGCATGGAACAGGAGCTAGTGTACATGCATTAGGGCCTCCTAGACCCCAGATAAGATGCAGGGAACATAGCAGGAAGGATGGGGGGACAAACAGCCCTAACTAGACAGCCTGGTGTGGAGCTGCCCTCTGGCGCAAGCTGGACTTGCTCTGGGAGCGTCTGGTCACTGTCTCACCTCCCCAGGCTTGGGAAAGCACTACTGCCCCTCTTCCCCAGATGCCACCCCCCACTCCAAGCTGGTCCCTCGGTGCCTACATGCACACCCCAGCCACTGTGGGCAGGGGTGGCACCAGGTGACAGAGGCACCCAGCCCTCAGGGAGCTGATGTAGGGCATCGAGGTTCCATCTTCATGCCCATGGCAGTAACCAAAGTGGCTGTAGTCATCCCTGCCAGTGTGGCAAGAGTCACCCAATACTGTGGCTCTGTGGCACTTTTTAAAAAATATTTATTTTTATGTGTATGTGTGTATTGCCTGCATGTAGGTAAGTGCACCCGTGTCATGCAATGCCCACGGAAGTCAGAACAGGCTGTCAGATCCCCTGGGGCTGGAGTTACACAGACAGTAGTTAGCTGCCATGTGGGTGCTGGGATTCAAACCCGGGTCTTCTGCAAGAACAACCAGTTAACCGCTGAGCCATCTCTCCAGCCCATGTGGCACTTACTTTTAGAGACAGTCTTACTATGTAACCCAGGCAGGCCTCAAGCTCACAATTCTACCTCCACCTTCTGAGTGCAGGGATCACAGGCCTTGTCACCATGCCTGGCTCTGCATACATTTTGCTCAGCTTGTCCTCTGTGCATAGCACCAGGCCTTTCTGGTCCTCACTGGTTCCTTTTGGAGACCCATCCAAGCCAGGGCCTGCCAATGCCTAGTTGACTGTTCAGAAGGGATAGCACCCAGAAAATGTCAAGGGATTTGTGGGGATCAGCTCCCTGAAGAGGCTCACCAAACACTACTGGACCATCTGACTTAAATGCCCCTCAAGGTGCTAACAGTCTGTGGCTTTCCACCAAATGTCAGCTGAGCAACTCTGGAGGAACCTGGGATGTATAGGGCATGGGGTAAAGGCCATAGGGCTGAAGACCCTCAGGTCTCTGGGAGGCTCCTTATGGGGGCCTCGATGGACACCCCCTCAAGACCTGCAGTTTCCTAGAGGAGTCTCAGCCAGGGCACCTGAGAGCAATAGGTCCCTCGATCTCAGCTGGGGTATGCGTATGTATATGTATGTGTGCAAACTACCCTATGGGAGCAGACATGACCAGGACAAGACCAGGACCCCATGCTTCCCCTCAGTGGAGACCTCAGGAACTGTTCTCTAAACAGGCCTGGGTGGGAACAAGATAATTAAGAGCCAAATGCTTAGTGCAGAGGAGCAAACCAGGTGAAGGTGTAAGGAGGCACCAAATGTGACTGCCCTGGACAGCCAGGTGCAGCCACCACTCAGCACGGATGGGAACTATCGCCAAGGGCCACTTGTGCTACTCCTTCCTAGGCCCAACCTTGACAACCTTGGTAGGGAGAGGTCAGCCTGCAGATGTCTGCAGGTTAGGTACAGATGGCTGGGGTAGGGGGCTGCAGGACAGTCCCTCAGACTTATACCCCTATTCCCAAGCACAGCAGGCATCAAGACCTGGGCTTGGAACCCTCCTCTAGTGCTCCCAAGGACATTGTGTGAAAGACAAGCTCCACCTGTGGGCAGGGGTCACACATACTCTTCTGGGAGCAGGTATGAGCAACAGCCAGCAGGATGGCAGAAAATGTGCACTGAGGTGGGGCCTGTGTGGAGGGAAGGGGTGATCAGGGGCCTGAGTGGAGGGAAGGGGTGATGAGGGGCCTGAGTGGAGGGAAGGGGTGATCAGGGGCTTGAGTGGAGGGAAGGGGTACACAGAAGGTAGAGGAAAGAAACCCAGAGGATGGAATGGAGAGCTGGTTCTGGGCATCACCGCAAGTCTACAAGAAGGGTCAGTAAAGACTTGCTAAGAAACAGCAAGATCCCGCTCAAAGAAATAAGGACTGGGTATTTCCCAAAGCTGAAAAGACATATTGAATAAATTCCTTTTTGGGGAAGAAGGTCTTTCTTGAGACAAGGGTCTCCTGTAGTCCCAGCTGTCCTGGAACTATGTAGACCAGGCTGGCCTCAATCTCACAAAGATCCAAGTGACTCTGCCTCTGGAGTGGACCTCCACTCCTGCCCTGCCCCTGTCCCTCCCTCATTCCACCCCCCCCTCGCCCCGCTTTTTTTTTGAGATAGGGTCATGCTATATAGTCCTGGCTGGCCTGGAACTCTATGTAGATAGGGCTGGACTCTATCTCATAGAGATCTGCCTGCCTCTGCCTCTGCCTCCCAAATACTGAGATTAAAGACATGTCCCACCATGCCCAGCTTTCTGGTTTTTGTTTTGGGGACAGGGTCTCACCATGTAGCCCTAATGAATTCCATTCTCATGTAACGTCCAGAACAGACAAGGGCCTGAGTGGAGGGAAGGGGTACACAGAAGGTAGAGGAAAGAAACCCAGAGGATGGAATGGAGAGCTGGTTCTGGGCATCACCGCAAGTCTACAAGAAGGGTCAGTAAAGACTTGCTAAGAAACAGCAAGATCCCGCTCAAAGAAATAAGGACTGGGTATTTCCCAAAGCTGAAAAGACATATTGAATAAATTCCTTTTTGGGGAAGAAGGTCTTTCTTGAGACAAGGGTCTCCTGTAGTCCCAGCTGTCCTGGAACTATGTAGACCAGGCTGGCCTCAATCTCACAAAGATCCAAGTGACTCTGCCTCTGGAGTGGACCTCCACTCCTGCCCTGCCCCTGTCCCTCCCTCATTCCACCCCCCCCTCGCCCCGCTTTTTTTTTGAGATAGGGTCATGCTATATAGTCCTGGCTGGCCTGGAACTCTATGTAGATAGGGCTGGACTCTATCTCATAGAGATCTGCCTGCCTCTGCCTCTGCCTCCCAAATACTGAGATTAAAGACATGTCCCACCATGCCCAGCTTTCTGGTTTTTGTTTTGGGGACAGGGTCTCACCATGTAGCCCTAATGAATTCCATTCTCATGTAACGTCCAGAACAGACAAATCCATTGGGATATGACACAAGGCCAAGGTCAGAAGGGGCTGGGAAGATCGGAGGGGGAGGGGGAGGGGAAGGAGAGCGGGGGCCAGAGGAGGGAGGTGCTCTACAAAACATACAGTGGGTACATCTAAAGAAACTTGGTTCTGCTTTTTTTTCAGAGTCTCACTGTAGCTCTAGCTGGCCTGGATCTCACAGAGCTCTGCTTGTCTCTACCTCCTGAGTGCTAGATTAAAGGCCTGTGCCACTGCACCCTGCCCACATTTAAGAAAACCTTTGCCTCAGGGTGGCTTAATGCCTTTAATCCCAGCTAGGGAGGCAGAGGCAGGCGGACCTCTGTGAGTTCAAGGTCAGCCTGAACCAAATAGTGAATTCCAGGCCAGCTGGGGCTAGAGAGAGATCCTGTCACAAAAAGACTGAAAAAACAAAACAAAACAAAAACCCAACTTTTAATTAGAAAACAAAACAGGGCTGACGATGACTCATCAGATAAAAAGCTCTTGCCACCAAGCCAGATGACCCGAGTTCAATCCCTAGAATGCACCAGATAGGAGAAAACCAACTCCCACAAATTATCCTGACCTCCACAGGAGGGTTGTCGCATGCACATGCTCCCTCATAAAAAAAAAAAAAAAAAAAAAAAAAAAAAA